AATTTTTAATATAACTCCGACTGGATTCGTCTGAAAGAAGAAAGTCATATACACCTAGGATGCATCGGGGGTGAGTGAAACGCAGCCTAATTTTAATTTTTGACTGAACTAACCCTTTAAGTATATTTCTGAGAAGTACATAAAAAGTAGACTAAAAGTATACTTTCCTATTTTTTTGTTTAAAAGAAGTATACTAATAGCACACTTGAATAAAATTCTTTTTTGTAAGGGAAGGGTTTCCTATACTTTTTTTTTTGAGGATTCCAAGACTAAACAATAATTAGATCTTTTAGAACACAGAGCTCTTAATAGGTGTCAAGTACAGAAGGAGAAAACTCAGAAGTAACGTCAAAGTCTTTATTCAGTAGGAGAAGACTCAGAGGTAAGTTCAAAGTCTTTATTCACACGTATTTCAGAGAAGCAGCATGTAAAATAGGTGAGTATATAATTAAATGAAGATAGATAGCACTTAGCTTGAACATAAACAGTTCTTTGCTTGTTGCAGGTGCTGGTGGGTATGAGGTGAAGGCTTAAGGCCCCGATATACTTCAAGGCGAAATCGAAGAACGAACTGATGTGACGTCATTTCGAACAAAATCTGGCCAAAGCAAACTTTCCGGAAAAGCTCGTTCCGGCTGCAAAACACCTTCGTACTACCATTGGTCTGTGACGAATACGTCATAGGAGGTGTGCGCTGAGGCTCCGCCTTCTTTCACACAGAACTCTGCACTCTGGGTTCATTTTGTTTTGTCAAGTCCTTGGAGGTGAGATGTCCGATGGGTAAAAACATGAACGCAGTGAAGATCCGCTTTATAGTAGCAAATTAAATTTTGCTTTTGATTAAATGAGACACTGAAACTGTTTTCATGTTTAATACTGCTGATGGCTTTTAAGCAATATATTGAATAAAGTGCCATGTAAATACATGTGACTTGACTTCACGGGAGTGCTAATTTGCAGAGCTCGTGCAAACATGCCCATGTTGCTATGAACAGATGCTTTTTATAAACAATGCTTGCTGTTTTTTCCATTTGT